CCTAAAACCCTAAACAACCCTAAACCCTAAGCCTGGTGTGCTTTTTGTGTACTTGCGTATCACAATCGGGCTCTCAAACTTGTGCAACAAGGTTTAGGGTTTAGGGGTTTAGGGTTTAGGGTTTAGGAGAGGTTTAAGCTAAAGCTTCGAGTAAAGTCGTCGTTTTCGTACCTTGCAGACCCCAAAACCCCCCTGCATTCGTCTTCCTGAGACTGCTGTATCATGCCAGGCCTGAACCTGAAGATGTGGGGAATTGTGGCGAAGCATGGCGAAGCCTTTACGTATGTATGTGTGTATACATATATATATATGTATATATATATATATATTTAATAGATACATAGATATGTATCATTAAAAGCATATCTGCATGTGTATATATGCATGTGTTTACTTCTTTATATACCTACATATATACCTGGAGGTTAAGGCGCAAGGTTTAAGGCTAAAGCAACGGTTTCAGAAAGTAATAAAGCACGCAAGAAGCCTGTAAGAACCTACAGTCGCAATTCGTATCCCTGAACCCCAAAACCCTTTTTCCGGCAATCCTTTGCTAGGCCATGACAGGCGCTTGTGGCGACGTGGTGGCTCGCTCGAACATCTAGTTACTAGTTAGGACTTAGGGTCTAGGAAGTAGTACTGTGACATTCCCTTGTGTTTCCTTGTTATGTTCGCTGAGCATTTCTACTAGAGTTACACTCCCCGCTCCCCTAGCCTTATTCTATTTGTTGAGGTTTCAAGCGTTGTTGTACAGACCGTTAGACTTCTGAAGCGTCAACCATCAATCATAAAGCCAATGCTATGCACAGACCAATGGTTAGTGCAATGTACCACAATGCCATGAATGTATGTATGCATGGATGCATGCATGCAGGCATCCATGTGTGCATGTATGTATGTATGTATGTATGTATGTATGTATGTATGTATGCATGTAGGCAGGTAGGTAGGTAGGTAGGTAGGTAGGTAGGTAGGTAGGTAGGTAGGTAGGTAGGCAGGTAGGTAGGTAGGTGGGTAGGTAGGTAGGTATGTGGGTGTGTGTGTGTGTACATCCTGTGTGTGGGGGCCGGGCGCTGGTCTGTAGATGTGTCCATATTCGAGCCGTCTCACGGTGATATTAGACAAAGACTATGCATGTATACCAAGGACCTACACGCACTTCTTTCCTCGTCGTATAAGCATGGCCAGTCACGAAACTCACACACTGACGTTTCTTGCGGTCGAAGCCAAGTATGCTGTAGCACCCAAGACAAGCATGGAGTCTACCCCGCATCCGCTGTTGCCCCGCATTCTCATGGAGCTTTCTTGGACATGACCTATAGTCTCCATTGTAATTCCTTTTTGGGGTTCCTTTAAGGTACAGGATCCTAACTATAAAAATGGTTTAACCAAAAAAAGGAACTACAATGGAGACTTTAGGGAAAGAGCAAGCTGAAGAGCGGATGGCTGGGGCTCGTGCCTGAACTTTGCCGCGTGCCTAGTCCAAAACCTCCCATGCAAGAAACGCTGGCCTCGATGTGGTTAGTGTAGGGGCCTAAATAATTACCTATACTATCTTGGGGGCTCCTTATTATAGTTACAGTATAGTATACCCCAAAACTCCATTCTTTAATTATCAGGCCCCTACATTAAGCAACTGCGCTGACTGATGAACAGTTGGGTTCTCGGCTTGGTCCCGTGCCATGTCCACACAAGCAGAAAGCACTCACAATCCAAACGACTGTATGGATAACCAGTGTACAGCAAGGACTGTCGATCATGTTTATGTTCGCTCACAATGCAGGTACACGGACGTGATCAGGCTCGCTTCTCCCATGCTGCATAGCTTCCTTGCGCAGGTACCATCATGGGCCTGTCCCTGCACCCTACGATATCCGCGTCCAGTCTGTAAGATCGAAGTGAAGCCCCTTGGAGCAGGGTTTGTAACAGAAGGGCGGAACGCAACCCATTACGACTAAAAGGAAGGTAAACGCAGCATGATGTGAACATTCAGTTCACTTGGGTGTGTGTATACGTATGTATGTGCTTACAAGTTTCTCTCTGTCTGTGTTTGATACAGAGAGAGAGAGGACATGCATGTGTGTATATATATATATGTATATCTACACACACACAGGGTACAAACAAAAACAAGGAGCGAAATGATCACACAGTGGAAGACTTCCAGCGCATGGTTCAAGGGTTTGCGCTGCCCTAAAACACCGAGCCCGGTTTGGGGTTTAGGGTCCAAGAGCCCGAAACCCTAAACCCTAAACCGGAATTCCGACATCTCAGGTCGCCATGGACTGCCGGGTGTTTCACCGCGGCAGCGCCAACTGCTCCTCGGCAGTGCGGGTCCTTTTGAACGCCTCCTTTCAGGAGGACCTGGCTGGGGGATGCTGCCCTAAACTTCAACCCTACACCCTATATACCCTTAAACCCCAAACCTAAACCCGAAACCTTAAACCCCAACCCTAAACCCCAAACCTTCAACCCCAACCCTAGACCCTAAGCCCCTTAGTTCAAGTTACTTAGAGGGTTGAAGGGCGGTTTAGGGAGTTTGAGGCCTTGAGACTCAACTCCAAGGGCTGAACATTTGGTTTTGTCTGGGGCCCTGTAAAACCCGGAACCCTGTACGGAGTTGTATCAATGGCATATGTATAGAACGCGATAGAAGGACCGCAGAAGAAGCCCTGCACCTAAGCTCAATACGAACCCTCTAGGAAACCCTGAACTCTACAAGCATCTCATTAACTTAGAAGATTCCCTAACCTTCATAAGAACCCGAAGAGAAAGCCTAAACCTTGTTTTAATGACCAGATGACCCATGACAGTAAGGGCCCCATACCCTAAATACTATGAATCCCTCTTTGGTATGTGAGCCTTAAACCCTTTTAGGGTGCATTTCGTCTTTTCGGTTAAGCCCTCCTAGTAAACTGCTCCCCCAAACGCTGAACTTTAAGTTTCCAAAGCTCTAAGCCCTAAATCCCTCAACCTTAAACCCTAATTAATCCTGTAAGAACCCTAAACCCCTAACTCCTTCAACCCTAAACCCGAACCCCTAACTCACAACTCATTAAACCCTAAACCCTACACGCCCTAACTCCTTGAACCCGAAACCCTAACCCTAAACGCCCTAAGTCCTTGAACCCTAAACCCTAAGCCCTAAACGCCCTAACTCCTTGAACCCTAAGCCCTAAACGCCCTAACTCATGAAACCCTAAACCCTAAACACCCGAACTCCGTGAACCCCAAACCCTTAACGCCCTACCTCCTTGAACCCTATAAGAAGAGGACCCACCGAAGAGCCGGGATTGGATTCCGTCGCGCGGATGGCCTTGGGAGGGGTCGGCGGCTGCGCGGCCTGGCGGGCACAGAGAGTAGGGTTGTAGGGCTTTAGGGGTTTGGGGTTGTAGGGGTTTTGGGTTTTTGTCTTTGGGTTAAGGTTTTGGGGTTTTGGGGATTTGTAGGGGATTCAAGACTTTGGTCGGGAGTTCAATGAATTCGGGTGTTGGGCATGTAGGATTTAGCATTGGTTCAAGACTCTGCGGTGGTCAGTATCTTGTCTAGAGTCCAGAGTCTACTAGCTCAGTTTGTTCCCAGGGTTCAATGAGTTCTGGTTCGTCGTTCTGCTCATGTTTGTGTATGGTTTGGTTTGAAGTACCCTAAGCCCTAAACCCCGTGTAGCTGGTGTTGGGGACGATTTTGTGATCGGAAGTCTTGAGGTAACGATTCTGGGTATTCTGGTGGGTGTGCTACTATAGAAGCCTACTTAATGACCTATACTATTTTGGGGCTCCTTGTTATAGTTATAGTACAATATACCCCAAAAACCTACTGTAATTATCCAGGCCCCTACATTACGGTTTAGGGTTCAGGGTTTGGGCGTGCTACTGCAGCCCGGGGTCGATCCAGAGGACGGCATCGCAATTCCCACTGCTGATTGGAGTCGCACCAAAGTCAAAGGGCTGCTAGTAATCTCTTTTCCCTGCCGGTTTGCACAGGACATTCGGAGGTGATAAGTATGGGACCCTAATATGGACCCTTAGGCCTTTTTAGGGACCCTTAAGACCCTTAAGGGTACGTATAGGGTATGTAGTAGGTATATAAGAATCCCAGGCTTAAGGGTCCATACTAGGTGGGCCCTAAACCCTAAACCCTAAACCCTAAAGACCTAAACCCTAAACCCTAAACCCTAAACCCTAAACCCTAAACCCTAAACCCTAACTGGAGCTCATGTGGAAGTAGTGGAGCAGCTGCTTCTCCCGAAACCTGGACACTCAAGAATTTCCAGTCCACTCGTTCAGGGTTTCGAGTTTAGGGTTTAAGGTTTAGGGTTTAAGGTTTAGAGTTTAGGGTTTAAGGTTTAGGGTTTAGGGTTCAAAGTTTAGGGTTTAAGGTTTAGGGTTTAGGGTTTGGGGCCATGTTGACTCCTGGTGGGCATTTCGGCATTGCTGTGACTCCGAGAGACCCTGGATTTGTCTGACTCCCAGCCCTTGTTGCCGCAGCTGAGGTCGGATCCGCGTTCGATACACGGCTTTACCTACCACTGTTTGCCCGATGTGCTCGGGGCTAACTACAGGCTGCGTGACTTTCGCGACGGTGTCAAAATGTCCTCGCAAGTCAAGCCTCAAGCCCTTGAGCCCATTCCCTACCCAGGGGCTCCAATGTAGTTCCTTTTTTGGGTCTGTTATGGTTTTTTGGTAAGGAATGATAGTATACTATCCAAAAAGGAACTAAATAGGAGCCCTTGGGTAAACCTGCCAGAAAGCCTGAACCAAGGTTAACTTCGATTCCTACCTTACGCAAGTGCCCTAAACCCTAAACCCTAAACCAGGGTGAACTTTCATTCCTACCTTACGCAAGTATCTGTGCCGAAACATCAGCCAGCAAACCGGAGCCAAGGCCTTGCATCCTACTACACAGTCATGGGACCTGGTGGCCAAAGGCGGTAGTGATGTAGAAGGCTGCAAAACATGTAAGAAAGTATCCTTGTAGTCCAAAGAGGCCTTATTAATTGCTTATAATATTTTGGGAGTTCCTTATTATAACTATGATAGAATATTAGTATAATATACCCCCAAAGCCTATTCTGATCAGTAAGGCCCTTACATTATCATACTATATTACACCCCAACGCTTAGTCTTTTTTTTAGGCTCCAATATCGTTCCTGCCCCTGCTGCTTCCTCAATTTCCCGAACCCCTTCGGAGTCAAAGGTTTAGAGTTCAGGTTTTCCCGAAACCGCACGAAACCCCACCATCGAAATTAAAACCCTGAACGTGCGACGTCTAAGCCACAACTACGCATCCCTAAATCTCAAGATCTTGCCCGAAATTACTCGAACTCCGTCACCCTAGATCCGAATCCCTCCCCCAGACCGGAAATACGCTCCAAACCCCCGCAAGAATCGGTTTAGGGTTTAGAGCCCTAAACCGTTGAGAACCACTATGCCCCTAGCTACTTCTTTTTCATTTTGGCTTCCTCGTCCTCTATAGAGGACCCTATAAGTCCCTGTCAGGAACCCTATAAACGACCCTAAAATAAATCCTACAAGCCCTAAACCCCAGACGACCCTCTTTGGACAAGGGTTCCGGGCCCCTAAACCCTAAACCCTTAAACCCTAAACCCTTAACCCTAAACCCGCCTTAAACCCTAAACCCGAAACCTTAAACCCTAAACCCTAAATCCTTGCTCCAGGGGAGAGCGTGAGCTGAAATCGGAGATCCGCGCAGCCCAGCGCCTCCTCTTGGAGGCCTTGAGGGTTTAGGGCTTCAGGGGTTTAGGGCTTCAGGGGTTCAGGGTTTGGGGAAATGAAAGGCCTTGAGGGTTTAGGATTTTGGGTACTAGGGGTGTGGGGTTTTAGGGGTTTCAAGGATATAGGGTTTCAGGGGTTTGGGGCTGGTTTAGTGCTTTGGGGCTTTAAGAGGGTTTTTGGGCATTAGGGTGTTGTTTGCTTTTAGGGGGCTTAAGAGCTTGAGGGCTTTAGGGAGTTAGGTGCTTTAGGGCTTCAAGAGGTTTCAGGGCTTTGGGGTCTAGGGTTTTCAAGGATTGAAGAGTTTTGGTTTTAGGGCTGTTTCGGGGCAGTAAGTAAGGATGTTATGGGTCTTAGGGGTTCAGGGTCGAGTTCGGGGTTTAAGGCTTCAGGGGTTCAGGGTCTACCCCTTTAAGAACCCCAAACCCTTGTTCAAAAAACGATCTATCAGAGGGTCGTTTACAGGGTTCCGTAAAGGGTTCTTTAACGCGTCTTGCAGGGTCTTCTGGAGGGTACCCTTTTCCCAAAAGCTTTTCGAGTTTTGGTTAGTTTTATGCGAGGTTGTTACATGTTAGTTTTCGGATGTTACAGAATTCCTTTAAGGGCTTTACAACAGGGTTTGGGCTGTAGGCTGGGGGTTTGGGGTTTACGGTGTAGGGGTTTAGAGTTTAGAATACGGTCTAGGCTTTAGGCTGAGGTGTGCTTCTGAAGAGTTGTTGTTTTTTGTTCCACGGTCAAGCACTGCTTCAAAGACAGATGCTTTAAGTTTTCCTTTTGCAGGGGTGTAGGCTTAGGACTCGAAATTGCTTATCCAGTGGGAGGCTTGTATGGCCTTTGTAACTTATATGACCTACGTGGCAAAGTTGAAAGTTTGCGGGACCTGGCCATTCAACCGTATAGCTCAAACGATCCTATACTGTTACGGGGGATACCTTTCCCAAATCATAATAGCTCGCAACGTAGAAACCCTACATTCCACTCTATAGGTACTTAGGACCGTTTGCGCAGGGCTCATGTCATGTCAGGAGCAATTAGGGTTTCAATTTGGAGGGTTCTGGGTAGGTCCTGAACATGCTTCCTGCGTTGCATCAGCTGCAGAAAAACCGGTTTCTGGGTTTGGGGTCTAGGGTTTCTGAGTGCTCCGTCTCGAAGTTGTGCTAAAGCACCGGTAGCGCGGGTGCGGACGCGAGTATGTTTCGCTGTGTGGCCACAACACACAGCTACTCAAGTTGTTCATAGCAAGCTATGCATGAAGCTGCAGGAAGGTTTTTGGCCCTCGTCCTGAAGCGCTCAGACCTGAACAAGCAACAAAAAAACAAATACCTACCCTGAAAACTGAAACCGATTCTAGTTCTCAAGAACTTAACCCAGACCCGCCATCAAACCCCTATTAGAACCTAAACAGCAAGTATTAATTGAGACCATATACTCCTGTTGATGGCTGCGGGTCCTGATGAATTAAGATGGTGCCGGCTCGAACCTGACGGCCTAGGTTCAACTGTAAGCCCTACAGCAGGAAACTTGTTTATGTTTTCCCCAACACCCTGAAAGACTGAAACTATCGAACTCCAGTTTGATCATGATCTTGGAGACCATCACCATCATCGTCTTTCACCATCCTCATCCCCATCCTCATCCTCATCCACATTATCTTCCTCATCCTCATCCTCATTGTCATCATCAATACCAAGAACATGATCATCATTATCATCGTTATCGCCATCATTACTATACCGCCATCAGCATCCACATCCACCATCATCATCATCTTCATGATCATCTGGCCTTTAAGCATAGGCCCTGAACCCGAACCTAAGCCCGAGAGCCCTAAACCCCCCAAGCCCCCAAGCCTCCAAAACCGTTGCCCTAAACACAATCATGGAGTTCTTTCATTTCCTAAACCCTAAACCCTAAACCCTAAACCCGAAACCGCCGCAGGTAGCAGAGGGTGCTCGGCATTTGTCCCCGGAACGTTTGGCAGCTCCGCTGGCGAACGCCAAGGGAGTCTTTGGCCCCAGAAGCTGCTAGTAAACCCTATAAAGACATAAAGGAACCCGTAAAGGAGCCCTTAAAGGAACCCTGAAAGGAACCCTAAGCTACATTAGTACACCCTATAAATCCCTGATAGCACCTCTTACGAAGGCCCTTGAAAGAACCCTGCTTTTTGCTGTATTCCTGGATTTCTAACCTTGCGATGGCAGGGTTCTCAATATTTGAAAGACGGCTCTTACAACTAAGGGATTGCAAGAGGATGACAGGGGATACGCATCACAGTCGAGGAGAACATCGCGGCGGTGGTGCAGATGGCGATGTGGGTCAACATCATGTTCACTGCAGGCCCGGCTGCTCCATCATGGTCCTCAGCAGCTTTCAACTCCGGCACGGCTGCAGCCGCTACGTCCGATCCCCCATTGTCGCTGCCGGCAGGAAGTTCCCTCGCAGCTGAGTGGAAAGATGGTAACGGTTAGGGTTGTTTAGGGAACTGTCAAGGGTCCCGTCCTGGGTCTACACGACTTCGTCATTGGTGTGTCAAACACCCGCATGCTACCATCTGACTTTGGCTTCGGCATCTCAAGGACGTCGATCTCGGACTCCATGCGGCGCA